AAGGGGCAAAGTGTGTTAGATCAGGGGGAGGCTTCACGCTTGGCAAGTGACCATTAAAGATTACATACCACAATCCTCTTCATGTCACACTTAGTGAGCCTTGATGTGTTGTCCATTGCTCTCCAAGTGTGCCTTATATTCAGTGTGGTGGCACAGATGTGTGACCGTATTCTGTAACTAACATTTTCTTAAACTGTGACAATTTTGTCATTGCTGTAGTGGATACTTTCACTCAGAACTCTGTGGGATGTGGTGTAAACAGCATATTTGGACAGTGTGATTCAGCTTGGTTATTTTGTAACTGGCATTAATGAAAGGGCAAGTGCTTATGGGAACAGATGAGAACTTTTGCACCATGAGGATATAAAGCTAGGTTACAGTCAGTTCCCTAGGCAGCTTTATTCCAACAGTTACCGTGCTGACGTCCTACAAGGGATAGCAAGCTATTGACATGCTGTTATAATAACGATTTCAATGTTATTGTCTGTGACTTTGTTATGAGTTTGGTATTTAAGCCTTTCAAGTATGCTGTCAAATTTCTGTAACTCAAAAGTTTGACAAATTCTGAAAGGTTGGAAATTACTGTTTTGGGAGTAATTATAATTTTAAAAAGAATAATGTGAGGCATTTGGATGTTAGGTAGTTGATCCTTTCAACACCATCTTATCAATGAGAAAGAGGCATTTCAACTAAATCACATAAATGCTTCCTGTCTAATTAAGGTCACATCACCTTTAAGCTGAAGTGACTACTGAAAACTTCAGGTTTGACTTGAAACATTTCTTCAGACTTCATCAACAGAGACATCAAACCTGAGTGTATCTAGAAGGTTCATACACTTGTGAGTGTAAAGTTACCATCAGTCACCCAATCAGGCCCATGGAGTTGGTGCAGATGTGGGCCTGTAGATCCTTGGCATCCAGGGCATTGGTCCTAGATGAGGACTCTGGAGTACAGGAAAATCTCAAGGCAATAAGTAGTTGCAGGGAATCCTGTCCAAACTCTGCTCCCAAGAAAGACATTATCTTTATTACTTTGGGGTGTAAACAAATCTCTGGTTTGGCAGGGAGACCTAGTTATCCTGGACTGAGTAAATAAATCTCCTCTCTTAACAGGAGAGTGACACTCTCTAGATTTGGTGGCTGTTTGCAACACAGATGTCCTTAGAAAAACTGCAATGGAGAGAGCTACCTAAAGAGTGGGGTTTAGTGTCCTGGGGAAAATGAGAGAATCCATGAAATTTGGATCGAGGTTTGGGTTGTGCTGAGTACTGACTGGATGTTCTCAGTTGAGTTATCAATTACCATATTTCTCAATGTGGAAATACTAAAAACATTAAATTAGATGGTACAATTAATTTAGAGCTATGCTTATCCTGCTAACAAAACATTGTGAAAAAAATGAAGACCATAGAAATATGTGAAAAAGTCCATTAACAGTGGCCTGATAATATAAGGGCCTTCACTGGGCAACGTACAGAGAGTGGGAAACTTTGGTGCAGTAAATAGGATTTAAAAAAATCAAAGTGTCCATCCTGTCTCCTGCCCTCCCCATCCCCTGTCTCCCCCCAACACCCAAGGCTCAGGTATTTATGAAAAAGAGCCTGAGAAAATGTTGGAGCCAGAGGTGGAAACAGCATCTTCCAGACATAATGGGATTGATGCACATATGAGCTCACCAGAGACTGTGGCAGTATGCTCACGATCTGCCTATGTTCCAGAGAGACAAAAATCCCAGCACTGAGAAGGGGAAGTGGACTGGATGTACCACCTCTAACCAAGAAGCTGTCTGCCATTGATACCTGCTGGGAAAGAGAAAACCAGTTCTCTCCAAAGGACTGTTTATCAGTGGGTCTACCAAACATACTCCAGGACAGGCCCCATGCTGAGGAGTGGTCACCCAATTCGAAATGGACTCTATGGTTTTTTTTTTTTTGGTCTTGCTGTTTTTTGTTTGTTTGTTTTGATATTTTTGTTTTGTTTGGCCTTTGTTTTTTGACACACACACACAAAAGAATATGAACTTGAATGGGTAGGGAGTTGGCTAGGATCTGGGAGGTGTTGCGGGAAGGGAAACTCTGACCAAAATACAACAAAAAGGCAAGAAAATTCCAAGAACTGGTTCAGCTCCTTACAAATGATGCCAGTAACAGGCTGCTGCTTCTTCCTTAGCATTGGTTCTTGTTGTTATGGTAACAAATGGGCAGTGTTCCTCTAGTCCAGATCTCCATCCTAGGAGGGAGGAATTCAGAAAACCTAAGTCTGCTACGCATGGCTCTGGTTTTTTTTTTATTGTATTGTTTTGGAGGCTGTCCGTCCAGCCTGACCTCGAACTCACAGCGATCCGCCTGCCTGTGCCTCCTGAGTGCTGGGATTAAAGGTGTGCCCCACCACCGCCGGGCACGGCTCTGGTTTTTTTATTCTGCAAGGAACATGTTCCTTAGGGACTTGATCTACACATGGAACCTCAGGTTCCAGGTGACACGGCTACCCTGACCTGGGAGACTGTAAATATTTAGTTACATGTACAGTTGCCATAGCCAAAGTCACAATTGTGAGAGAAAGTAACAAGATGAGAGTAAGCCAGCTGACTGGTGATGTCTGCCACGTGCATCATCTTGGTACCCAAGCTGTTCAGGCTTCAATATAGGCCTTCAGTGAACACTAAAGCATGACTTTTCTGGCAGTCACAGACTCCATTCGGTGTACTCTTCTTAATAGGCATTCATATTCAAATTTGAAAAGGTTAATTTTGCTCAATCTATTGGTCAAAGGACAGACACATCTCCAGATACTGAAGAGCTCATTTGGTGAATTTTCAAACGTAAAAGAATTAACATATTGTGGTTAATAAGCCAACTAGAAAGTTTATTACCCCCGAACAGTGGCAGGCTGATTACCTTACACCACGGTTTCCTCTTCTGCACTAACAGGTGTTGTGGGCATCTTCAGTGGCCTCTCTGTGTTTTAGCTTCAGCATCTGCTTCCATTGTGATCTTTCCAGGAGTTGGCCAGATGGGTATATCACATCACTCTTCACAGATTTGCAGGTGTGAATTAACCTTTAAGTTCAGAGATAATTGTTTTAGTCATTTTCTCTCCTGCAAGCGCTACCTAAAGGTATATTTTAAAAAAATTACTTAATGAGGAAGAGCAAAAGCAATTCATCCTGATTCTGTTGATTTGCAGTCACTCAGCAAATGTAAGCCAAGGCATTTTATAGCCATGAATATTGATGTAAAAGACTGCCTTTTTTTCAGAGAGTGAAGGTCATGTCATGTGAACCTCCCTCTTGCTTAAGGAACCATAACCTTCACCTCTTATGCTTTTGTGACATTCCATCCTCGTTTGAATGTCTGCTTGTACCATAAGTACCAGCCTGTGACTTTGTACCCAATTCCCCTTGTTTGAATGAATTTAATTATGAGACAGAATGCCAGCTCCTTTACCTTTTCAAAGACATTGGAGATGTTAGGTGTGAGACCACCAAAAAGTCAACACCTTCTGTACAAAGCAAAGGACCAATGTCTGCCTTCTGTGGCTGCTTACACTCAGTCACATCTGCTTGTAGTCTATCACACCTTTCTTTCCTTCTTTCTCCCTACTCTTAGCTTGGAGGACCACCCCAAGGGCCAAATGCTGCCTACACACTAAAGCTTGATCGCTCTCATTCCTCCAGACAACACAGATCCTTACCATCAGAGTGGGAGTCACTGGTGTTTATTGACAGGAGATCTCCACTATTTAAAATGTTTTGATAATATAGTAACAAACAGGTATTTACTTATAACCTATTTACACATCTTTTACCAAATCAATAATTTACATTGTGAGATGTAGGCTGAATAGATACTATTAAAGTATGAGATGAAATGGGATGAGCAGATGCTCAGAGTGAACTTTCTGTGTCCCAGGATATCATCTGGCCCAATCTCAGTGTTTCTGTTTTTAGGAGAAAAAGAGGACACTTCCTTATGTAAAAGAAATACACAACTTTATAAATCTTAATCTATTTCACTCTGAGTTTACTTAAACCCCAGGGAGCATAATTCATTTACATCCTGCCAAAATACAGGTCGAAAACATTATACTGGGGTGGGGGTAGGATGGGGGAAGAGGGAATCATAGGTTAGAAGACAGATCAGGCACCATTGTGACATCTAGTGATCTAAATGGATGATACCAATTGGCAAGCTAAGCAATAGTGTAGAGACCACCTCGAATGCCTATTCCTGATAGTGAACTTGATGTCTATAACCATCCTGGAGCCTTCATCCAGTGACTGATGGAAGCAGAGGCAAACACCCACAGTTAAATACTGAACAGAACCCAAGGAACCCAGCGACAGAGAGAGAGGAGTGAAGAGCAAATTGGCAAAGAATAGGCTGGCAAAACCAGCAGAGACAGCTTATCTGAACAGGGGAGAGCTCTTGGACCCCAGACCGACAGCTGGGAGGTCAGCATGGGACTAATCCAGACCCCCTGAATGTGAGAGTCAATGAGGAGGCCTGGGCTACCTATGGGGTCCTGAGCAGTGGATCAGTGTTTATCCCTCGAATACTAACAGACATCGTGTGTCCATAACACAAAGAGGGTTGCTCTCTCTGCCTGGACTCTTAGGGAAGTGCCTGGACCCTACCCTGAATGAATTTGGCAATAGGGTGGGAAGATGGGGGGGATGATGGGGGGGTGCAGGAGGAGGGGAGGGAGAGGGAACTGGGATTGACATATAAAACAAGCTATTTAAAATTTAAAAAAAATGAAAAAAAGAATAGACTTTAAAATAAAATCAGTTCTTTTAAACAATGTAAAAAATCGAGTGTGATCAAAACCAAATTCCCCTTGACCATAACATTTTCCTTCAGGATCTTGATTTATTAACCATCTTTTGCTGGTGAAATAGAGTCTTTTAATTTGATACCTTACTTGAAATGCCAAGGCCACTGTTAAGGAAACAGCATTATAGCTGAGGTATAGAAAGCAATGGCCTGGAACCCAAGGTACTTTCAAATCATTTTCTCAAATTTGTGCATCATGCTTGTGCAAGGGCCATGGGAATTTTCTTTGTGTCATTCCATTTTGTTTAGTGTACGTGCTGTCAAAGTGAGCATGCATTATTTTATAAGAATAATTTAAACAAATATCCTCTATCAGATCCCAGGATTCTTAACCTTGGGCTCACAGATCTGTAAGTGGTTATAGATAGCTTAACGTATCACTGATCATGTTAAAAAAATTTATATGGAACATTTGCCCTTATTTCCAGTCATGACTAGTTATTTAAGGGATAGGAACCATTCTAGCTATTTTTCTAGAAAAAATAATTATAAAGAATTGTTAGCAGCTTGGGTCACAGGAGACTTTATTTGGCTTATAAGGCATAGTCTATCATCAAGGGAAGCCAAAGCAGAAGCTGAAGGCAAGAACAGGAACTGTAGCAGAGACCATAGAGGAACACTGCTTACTGGCTCGCTCTCCATAGTTTGCTTCCCTGGCTTTCTTATACAACCTAGGACCATCTGTCCAGAGGTGATGCTGTTCACTGTGGATTGAGCCCTTGATCATCACTCAACAAAATACCCTGTAGACATGTTCACAAGTCAACCTGTTGGAGACAATTCCTCAGTCGAGGTTTCCTTTTCCCAGGTGACAAAACAAACAAACAAAAAACAAAAAACAACAACAACAACAAAAAAACACCAGCACAAGGAGTAAAACCTCATATGATGTGTGAATTATACTATGAAGGTTGCTTGTTGATCCAGTTTTCAGCCTAAGAAGACTCAGATGAGGTCTTCATCACAGAAACATGGTATAGCCATCACTGCTGTGAACTTGGAAAGGTAAAAGTAACTAGTTACTCAAAAATTACTTTTGCATTATTAGCAAGGTAGAGAGCTAGCAATTATGTAGTTACTATGTAACTACATTAGGTCATTTCGTAATTTCTGCTACTTAAAAATGAATAAATTGAAAGTACTTTTTATCTCTGAGCCACTGTCTCTGAATTTGAATGAAAAGAAATGGAGCGACAAAGCAAACAAAATAAGAGGAGACATAGAATGTTAGGAATTTTTTCCTATAATAATCAATAAAGAAATTATTAGTTTGAGGACAGGTAGTAATCACGTAAGCTCTACCCAGTGTGGTCAGCTGTAGCAATCCAATTGACACTTTCAACCACGTAGGCTACTGATTTAAAAGAGGTTCAGGCTCACTTTCTTTGGTGACTAAAGTCACCATGGTGATTTTCCAGCTATGCAGATCACACAGGTACCACTTGAGACACATTTCAAATTTCATTAGTGCAGTGATACCCTCAGATGTCTATCCCAATAATCCCTTTCCTCCTGTGTGTGGCGCATCCACCCACCCTCAAGAATGGCCAATGTCAACATAACTCAAGTAGAACTTCGAGATTCCTGAAGACTTCTACTTTCTTTCTCTCTTTTTCTGCTTTTGTTGTCTAACAATTTCTCATGCCCCAATCTAGAGTTATTTTTTTGACTTGAATTCTCTTTTTGTTCACATTGCATTCTCATTCTGTCATGTTGTAGTTTCATTCCCCATTGCTGTGATAAAATAACCTGACAAACACAATTTAGGGAAGATAGAAATTATCCGGATAACCATTGCTACTTTCAGTCTAGTGCTGCAGGGCTGTTAAGGTGGCGGGAAACACAGCAGTCAGGACAGAGGGTGAACACCTGCATGTACACTTGTGCCTAGCTCATCTTCTGCTTCCTCCTTACAGTCCAGGACCCAAGCCTAGGGAATGGTGCCATTCACCTTTAGGCTGCGTCTTCCTACATGAATTAACATAGTCAGGTGTGGTGATTTGAATGAGTATGGCCCCATAAACTCATCTATTTGCATTCTTAGTCTCCAGTTGGTGAACCATTAGAAGGATTGGGAGTTGTGGCCTTGCTGAAGTAGGAAATGTCTTGCTGGGGTGAACTTTGAGGTTTCAAAAGCCCACACCAGGCCAGGCCAGTCTCACTCTTTTCCTCTTGCCTGTGGATCAGGATGTAAGACTCTCAGCAATCTGCTTCCCACTATGATGACCAATGGACTGAGCCTCTGAAACTGTAAGCAAGCCTCCAATTAAATGCTTTCCGTTATAAGAGTTGCCTTGGTCTTGGTGTCTCTTCACATAATAGAACAGTAACTAAGACGTCAAGATAGTGCCCCATAGATGTGCCCACAGGCCAACCTTAGCTATACAATCCCATGTAAACATATCTCCAAGATGATTCTAGATTGTGTCCAGGTGATACTTAAAACTCACCATTGCACTCCAGGTCAGACATCACAGCTTAAAGCCTTTTGTACTCTGAGATGCTCCAAAGCCCCTAACCTCTCTGAGCTACATTAGCCCAATAACTAGTTATTCTCTGCCATTCAGACCTTCAGATCTTCTCCACAAAGCATTCATAGACACCGTTAAAAGCATAAACTATTCTATCCTATTTACACAATCAAAATGTGCAGTAAATATTCAATACACTCAAAATGAAAATACAATTTGTTTTTATATTTTTGCTTTTTTGTGAAATGTACTATTTTAAGTACAAATTAAAGTATTTTTTATAAATCCCTGCTTCCTTTAATCATTCAGTTTGATACACAAACCCTGATGCTATTTGACCTTTTATAAACTCAATACAAATAGTCAATGACAATACAAGTACTCAATCACCCCGAGAGACATTAAAATAGAGTGGGAAAGGCAATGCTTTAAACCACAAGACATAGCATTGAGTTTACTTAATAATGAATTAATTAGTAACTTTAGTCAGTTGACTTAATGATTCTGCCCACTAACACAAAAGTGAAACTTACCTGGATTATTTTCATCATGAAGATCAAATAAGCACATATTTGAAAATGTTTGAGAAGGGTAAAACACTTAATGAATAATGGCTAAAAATAACAGAAATAATAGACAAATGATGAATCATAAAATCTGCAGGTGGGGTGATGACTGACCTTGAAACACTTACTGTAGCAATGCAAAGGCTCAGTTTGTCATGTGCTATAATAAACAAATACCTCTATGGATAGACAATGATGACTAGATTAGTGGATGTCAGAATAGAAATTAAAGTGAGAGATGTAGAGTTGTAGCAGCATTGCTCACCAGTGGAAACAGCTGTGCGTTGCTCAGAGAAAAACTACCTGTTTAAGTGGACAGGCTTTCTTACATACTGAGGGAAGTTGGGAGAACAGGTTAGACTATGGATAGTAATGGTGCCCAATTTGAGTTGGGAAAGAAGTTGTACCTGGCAGCACTTTCGAGAAAGCCACAGGATGGATGACCTAGAATGGTGGTGCTTATCTAAGTTATTCTATTACTAATAAATATTTAAAGGCCTGGGAATCAAATATTGAGATAAAAACTGCATAGATCAAAGAAGCAGCAGAGGAGTGACCAGCTGACCTTTTCTTCATGCTTTGTAGACCAAAATATTAATAATAATAATAATAACAGCAACAACAATAGGAAGTCCAAAAAGCCTACCAATCTCCAAGTACTTCCCTATCCCTTCTTGAGCCTCTCTATTCATATCCTGGGGTCTCCATATACTCTGTGGTTGATTATTGGCAGCTAGTCACTGGCTCCACCCCATGATTCAAGGTTAGCTTTCTTAACAGTCTCGGGGTGCCACAGTGATCAAATGTCCCACAACATCAACCTTCTTAGTACTGCAACCCTTTAATACAGTTCCTCATGTTCTGGTGACCCCCAACATAAACTTTTTGTTGCTACTTCCTACTGTGACTTTGCCACTGTTATGAATCACAGTGTAAATATCTGTGCTTTCTGAGAGTCTTCTGGGGGTCATGACTCACAGGTTGAGAACTGCTCTTCTAGGGGACGACAAGGGACTCTTTCGTCAAGAGGAGATAGCTAGGCTTTTGTTTTTCCACTTCTGGAAGCACCACAGTGAGTAGAGACAAGGCCTCCCTGGAAAAGTTGTCTTCCAGGTGGAAACATTTAGAGCTGGAGCTTCAGGAGGATGTAGAAGAGTGTAGAGATCCTTACTCAGTTTTAAGATGTCCAATGAGTGCCAGGCACAGCACCAGACCCATTATATATTATTGTGTTTGATTCTCAGAACATAATTTTAGGTGACATGTTAGTCATCCTTCACTACTATAGCAAACACCTAAGATATTGAACTTATAAAGAAAAGATGCTATTTTGGCTCACAGTTTTGGATGTTCAAGCCAACACTTGCTTGCCCTGTTGCTCTGGGATTCCATGCAAGGTTAACAGTGAGCAATAGAGGAGGCAGCATCAAGGTCCCACTGTCCTTTAAGAAAATGTCCCTCCCCAGTGACCTAAAGTTCTCCCATAGGATCCTTCTTTTACGTGCTTCACCAAAGCCCAGTAATGTCTCCCTGGATACCAGGCTACAGCACCAGGACCCTTGGGAATTTAAGGTCCAAACTATAGCAGTTGGTATCAATGTCACTGACAGGTTGAGCTCAGGAGTCAGAGTTGTTGAAGATTTCTTAACTAGTGAGGGGACTAACCTGGGACTGAAATGCCGGTTCTTTGGCCTTTTTACACCAGATCCTGTTGGGTGTCAATGAGTTGCTGTCTGCTGGATATTTTGTATTTGTTTATATTAAAGATTGCCAGAGATATGCATTTGGAAATGTTCATGGGTGTTGATAGAGCCTTTGATGCCAGGGTCTGATGGTATCAGAAGCAGCAAATCCCAGGGCTATGTGAAGCAGCTATTTTTAACAAAGGAGGAAAATTAGATTCACGGCTGGGCCTATCTGATCATCACAATTTCTTTCCAGTCTGATATTTTCTTGGTAAAGAAATGTTTTGCTACCTTGAATACTGCCTTTACAATATCCCAAAGAACCTTACTGTAACGCTGCACACTAATTTAGAAAATCAAGGTTTTCTGACAGTTATATTCAGGTCTGGGCAAATGGCAGAGCTGCCTATAATTCACAGCCTGCTTCAGGAAGTCAGCGGCAATATTTGACAAGGACACTACTTCATTAACATTTTTCTCTGCTTCAAGTCACAAAACAGAACACGCAATTTCAATGAGCTCTTTTGTGTCATGTGTTGCTTCTTC